AGCGTTCCAAATGTCCAACGCAGATTTCCAACGGATATCCGTTATAATTTTCCAACGGATAGCTGTTTTAAATATCGTTGTAACATTCCGACGATGATTCCAACGGAATTTCAAACGGATATCTGTGGCAAACACAGTTGTAAATCCGTTAGAAAATAGATATTCTAATGTATACCCGTAGGAAATTGGCCAAGGATTTACCGTTGGAATTCCGTTGGAATTATACGACGAAACAATCTGTTGGAAATCCGTTGAAATTATAGCACGGAAAAAACCGTTGGAAATCCGTTTAAATATTCCAACGGATTGTTGCGTTGGAATTCCGTTTGAAAATTACCACGGATTTCCAACGGAATCGATTTTCTAACGACGTTTTTCCAACGGATTTATCCGTTGGAAATCCGTTGGAAAAGTCGATTTCCAACGGATTTTCGGCCTTTTCTAACGGATGTACCGGTTGGAATTTTGGGTTTTTTGTAGTGCAAAACTTACCTCTTCGGGCTCTAAATTCGGTTCTCAGCTCGAGTTAGATCCGAACCTTACCGATCTTCTTTCCGTCAATCTGAGATCCGCCACCGGCTGGACCACTACCGATTCAACCTCCTGACCGTCGCTCTGTTGTGGTTTTGGATATCTCTAAACATGCGTTCATAACGGTTTCTAGGGTTCTAATCTTGGGTTTCACGCAGCTGAATAATATAAAACGAAACTCAATCAACAGATCTTACATATAATGATAAAAGTATCGATATACCAACATGTTTCGATCCAGAGGCCTGTCACAAACGCTGAAATCCAACGTTCTCTACAACTAGTCTAAACTCACGGGCTTGCGTCTGCTAGAACACGATCTGGAGGTCAGGAATAAAAATCGAGACGAACCCGGGAGAGAGAGAGGACGACGGCCAAGAGAGAGGGGGACGAAAATTCCCTAATTTTCTTAACTTAGAATTATGTTTCCTAAACATAATTACAAAGATATTAGTGTTTCATTAAACCCACTGGGCCTATTGGACCCATTATGTCATAACATAATTCATTAACCTCTTTCAATAGTTATTGGGCTTATTATCCTATAATTAAGCCCATTAGTCTTATCATTAATCATATGGGTCCATTAGACCACCTAAACCCATCCAATGAATTTCAAATCAATTTCGCAAACCGATCGTGATTAGAGCACCATATCCATCACTCTCTTCCTGTTTCGAACCCTGAAACAGTTGAAAGAAGCGTCAAAATGCTTAGATCGAAAAGAAGACGCGTTGGACTTCCTCGGCTGTGATTTCACCGCCAATTTCACCAAGCCTCGCCGTCAACTGGGCTCTTATACCACTTATAGTGGTTCCCGGCCTTCAACCTCTCACTTTGTACTAAGAACAGAGAAGAAAGAGACGATACGAGATGTACGAATTCAATACCGAGTTCTAACACTCGTACCTCCATCTCGGGAAGAAAAAGTGTTCGATCTAGGGTTACAACTGAAGAACGTCGCCGGACACAGTCATTGGCGGCACTAGAGACACGTACACACACACGATGAGAGAGATATCTCTACTGCAAGAGAGAAGGAAGAAAACCTATCGGAAATTACAATCTCCCAAGTCTGTGAAAAGATGAAACCCTAAGAGGTTTCATTAACACCGCGAAATGATCATTAAACCTTTATGTCCTTCTGCTTCGCCCAGAAGCTTTGAAAAGCTTCTGAATCGCCAAGAGTCTTTAGAAATCTCTCTTCCATTTGGAGGATTTGTCGAAGCCATCCATCAATATATATATATATAGCGTTCTTAAAAAATTATATTATTAGAGAGAATTTTAAAATTAAGTTTTGGTGCCATGACCGTTTTGTTTAGGGCTAATATATGTACATGATCTAATAAGAATATAGACAAGGCAAGACGAATGAAAAAAAAACGAAGAAAGATCAAATAATCAAATAAACTAATGAAATAACAAATCATGATAGAAAATCTTTTTTTCTGGAAAAGAAAAATTAATGCAAAAATATGAGTGAATAATGAGAGAAACTTAGAAAATTGATGATTTGTAATGATCTTTATCATTTTTTTATTCGCAATATATTAACACAGAATAATTTGTTTCAATACAAAATAATTCTATAGAAAAATGCCATAAAAATATCCAAATTTGTCTAAATATGCCAAATAAATACCTTAATTTCTAAATTGTTAAATAAATATCTCAATTTGATATGTACCAAATCGATGAGATCGTATTTGTTTGATACAAATTGGAGTACTTATTTGTCAATTTGTAAATTTGTAATTTCTTTATTATATCTCGAAAAGTTTAAATTGAAATTTATTTGCACACTGAATATAAAATATTATGATGCTGTCAATATCTCAGTTTTTATCTTCTTCGGGTGAAAAAAACGATAAGAGTTGTTGTATTGTTTGAATGGATGTGTCAAATCTACTTAAGGGTCAAAGAAATTGTCCATTTAAATAATTTGTAGCAAAACTGCAAATTGAGTTTGTCATTACCGATAAATTTTACAAAAAAAAAAAATAGTCGAGCTCAAAATAGAGAATCAAATTTATTATCGTATAAATTATCTAAATACTTCATCTATTTTCGAATAGTCGTAGTTTTAAAGAGTATTTTTTGTTATTTAATAGATATCGTTTTAGATTTTCTAAATGATTTTTAAAAAAAGTATAAATTTATCTTATTTAAAAATATTCAACTTCATATAGCATTAATAAAAATATGGTTTGCTAAGGGTACATATCTACGACTTTTTTTATATTTTTCTAAAAATTGGGAAAAAAAAATCTAAAATGATATCTATTACAAAACGAGGAAGTAAAGTTATCAAGATGCAAAACATTTTTTTATGACATGGAAACAAGTTACTCCCTCCATTTCAAAATAATCATTGTTTTAGGTTATTTCACATTTTTTCAGAAAAGATAGAAAAAATCATTTATAACCTTATTTAATGATATAAATAATGTTATTATTAATAATTTATTAAAATTTAATAGGGATAAAATTGGAAACTATTGTAAAAAAATGCTTTGAAAATATAGAATGATAAATATTTTGAAACATGAAAAATAACCTAAAACTACAAATATTTTGAAACGGATGGAGTAATTCTTTTAGAGGGCCAAAACCAATTTTGCCTATTGGTATATCTCCAATCTGATTTTGTCAATAAAGATGAACAAAGTATACAATTTGCATAGTTTCCATACTAAGAAAAAAAAATGAAGTATTGTAACAACTTAAAATAAAAATGAACACACTTGTTGTACCAATCATGCTATATATATATTATTCACATGAGTGGTTATAGTAACCAAGATTATATTAGCATTGAGCTTTGAACGGTCCATTCCCATTGGAAAATGGGACTCTTAGGCGGCAGTAAAGATTTGAACAAACAGACCTCTCGGTGTCCCATTTTCAATTTCCTTTTTGCTTTGACATCCTTCAATACACCAACGGCCACAAACGAGAGAGAGGTGTTAATGTTTGATTTTCATCTCCTTTTAATATAATATAATATAAATATAAAATATGGACGTTGAAATTAATAATTTAAAAGAGATAGTAGTGACGTCCGACCATTTGATTATTACATCTAATAAGAAAACAAGAGATCAATTGTTGATTATCATGCTATTATTTCATTTTGCCATACACGAGCGAAGACCCAGCAATTTTAGATTATATTTCAAATATTTATTGTAAAAGAATAAAGAAAAGTCTCTCCACATAGCAAAATAATCAAATCAAATGGACCAATAAAAAGAAGAAGAAATAGGTCCACCGTCATATATATTCATCCTCAAGGCAGAACCAACAACCAAGCTATTTAAAAGATTTATATTGATTTTATTTTATTTCTATTTATTATATTCATTTTTTTTTATTTCGTACAGTTTATTACAAAAAAAATGAATTTTATATAGTATACAATATTTTCTCTCCTATATGTGTTATTTTAAAGAAAACAATTTTGTGAATCAAGTTTGCAATTTTAAGAAACTGAGCAGCCGAGATTTCGTTCAATTACATGTTATGGATTTCTTAATATTCTTTCATAAAAATATTACAAAAATTTCTTTGGAGAGGTTTTCAATTTTAATCTAAGATATGATTTATAAATAAAATTTTAACTGTATTTAAAATTAATAAACCATATCTTTTAGTGCATATATTCTAACAAAAAAATTAAACAATAAATAATTCTTGACCCAACAAAATATTGCATAAGATAATCAAAAGGTTAAAGCTATTTAAAAGGGGACTCAACTGATCATTGGTCACGAATAGCTTTATATTAATCTATGCAAATTTTTTATTCAGGATTGTATATAAATTTAAGGGAAAAAATATTTTTCTATACGAATTTAGTCAATTATGATATTTTCATATACATATTTTTAATTTGATAAAAAGTTATATTTGAATTCAAATTTTTCCAAATGTTTATACGAATTGTTAAAATATACAGTAATAACATATATAATCATCATTTTCGTTAAAATTATTTGAATTATATTAATTAATGCCCTGATATATATGGTAGTTATAGTAATCAGAATTCGAATAATTTTAATGAAAATGATGATTCTATATGTAATTACTGTATATTTTAATAATTCGTGTAGATATTTTGAAATTTTTTAATTGAAATATAATTTTTTTTATAAAAAATTAAAAATCTATGTATAAAAAGATTATATTTGATTCAATTTAGAAAAATGTAATTTTTTCTATTTCGAAATTACCTCGTATGTTTTTTCATAGACGGCGACATGAATCAAAGCTTTCATATATATATATATATATATATATATAATAGATGTCACACAAAAAAGAAAAAAATAAAAACACGTCTCTATGTATATTATCTATATATACATCTATATAATGACAAACCCACGTAGCGTCTACGTGTAAGAAACCATCATCTCTTTAACACTCCAATCTCTTATATATATAATTCCATAAACTCAACAAATCCTTACATCAAAAAATAAAAAACCTCGCTCTTCATTCTTCTTGTTCGACCCGTCCGTACATTTAGCCCGTATAGGATCTGACCCGGTTCTCATGGGTCCGGTGGTGCTGACTCAGCTGGCGACGGGTCTTAGCGTGTTGGCCGGTGTGGCGTTGGTTAAGTCGGTTATGGACCAGAAACCGATGACCGGTCCCGATTTAGGCGGTCCGTCGCCGCGTTGCCCGACCTGCAACGGCACGGGCAGTGTCACGTGTCTTTGCTCACGGTGGTCCGATGGAGACGTTGGATGCCGGACCTGTGCCGGGTCGGGTCGGATGGGTTGCAGCAGCTGTGGAGGATCCGGTACGGGTCGGGCCATCCGAGTCCGGTTATCGGTACAACGGTCAAACCGGGTTTCGTGAACGGGTCCGTTGATGGTTGGTGTAGAGGCAGATTATGAAACTAGTAAAACTGTAATTATGAGATATAGCATGCAATTAATTATCTGCTTGTTATAAGAATTCATGTATAAATTGCATGTGATTCGAAATATTTAATTTTCTGCTTGTTATGTTATTTAATTATGTAAAAGTAAAAACCCTAACTTGGAATTAGAAATTGGTTGCTAAGTTTTGTTTGGGAATTATTATACTATTTTAGTAATATTACTTTGCTTCAAAGGTTGGTTTTTGGTTGCCGAATTTTGTGGCTCCACTTGCTCTTTTAGTTGCCATCTTTTTTTTTTTAATTAATTTTGGAGGCTTCTTTTCCACTTGCATAGACAAAAACAAGTTACCCAAACATTGGACCGTATTAGAAAGAATCATATCAATGTTTTTTTTTGTTTTGTTGAAAGAATCATATCAATGTTATTATGTTACATACATATCAGCATTAACATTCACATCTTCATATATATA